CTTCCTTTGGAGTAACTCCTTGTTAGACTTACTGCTAGTGATGCACAAAAAAGAGGTAGCATGTTCTGCTAATTTCCACAACTGAACTACAACAGGGGACCTTAACATTTATAGTTACTTTTATATTCATACATGTGGACAACAACAAAGATGACAAAGATCGGCTTTCAAAATCTGGATAAAATTACTGAAGCTGTGAAAAGTCACACAGTTTGGCCTCTCTGTAACAGCTTCAAGAAGATTTTAAAAATAATTTTAAAAATCTTCTCAATTTTTCAGCTAAATAATAAAAGTAGATGGAACATTGGTAGCCAGAGGAGACCTGTAAGTAGGGAATCAGAAATGTCAAAAATAAAATTTAAAACTACCAATGGTAAACTAGAAAAGATGCCTCTGTACTGTCTTTCAAAATGATGAGTATCAAAATCTGTAGGATGTGTTCAGTACCTCATAGTGTGGTGGTCATTTAAGGTGCAGAATTGAAGGAACCCTCTGTATTACTAAATTAACTCTTTTTTTTGACATGATCATTTGAAATTTACTGGGAGCATAGTAAGGCTTGAATGGCTTGATACTTGCATATATACAGTGCTATCCGCTTAAGCAGTTTGGGTTTGAAAGACAGTCCAGTGATAACTGAGTCTGAGTTGAGCAAAAATTGTCAGGAAAGAAGGAAAAAGGGATCTTTTCATTACTGAAGCCTGTGTGTTGGCAACAGGGAGGCCTCAAAGTTGGACTCTCTTTCAGAGACAAGTCATACTTTGTTATTGCTATTGTTATTAGCCTATTTTCTGACACTGAGTTACTAAACTCTTAATGTGTATGTTTGAAAAAAATTAAAGATAATGGTAATATTTATCTGAATGTAGTAGTATTTATTTTTGTGAAATACATCCAGAACTTTAGGAAAGGCACAGTACAGAATGTAAATATCTGTTAATCTGCTTTTCAATATCCATCATCAAATGCTATTCCCAGCTCTCTAGTTGTTAGTTAGTTTTATGGGTTTCCTTCCATTTTCTGTCATCTTCTGTTACAGAGAATAGCTCGTCCATATTTCCTAAATAGTGTTTTATGTCTAAAGCTTTAGATGTCCACCTTCTTTCATTGGAATGAAATGCCTATGGCAGACACCTAAGATAACTTGGTAGATGCTTTTAGGATCAATGTCAATAGGCTTTCATATTGCCAATAAACATTTATTGTGACTTCACACATGGTAGCATCACCAGATGCCTCAACAGATTTACATTGTTACAGTATTTTCCTTTGTTTGGATGGTGATTTTCCTAAAGGTTTCCAAATGTTGATCAAATATAAATGTATAGAACAGAAAAAATGAAAATGATAGGCCAAAGAATAATGGTTTCTATTAATGTCAAAGCTAGCTTGTGAATTCCAGTGTTTGCATTCCGTGGGGTTCTCCCTATGTATTAGGAAACAGCATAATTAAAGATGAAAATAATCCTAGTGCTTAACTACAATGTATTATTTTCTTAAAAAAGGAAAAAGGGAAGGGATAAAAACCTGAACAAGCAGTTAGAATCTCTTACTTATGCCTCCCTATGGAGATCTTTAAATAAGACTATGTATTTAGAGTGCATTGTCATCTGGTGGAAGCATCATTCTTTAAATAACAGAAAGCCAAATTATATTATTACCCAAAAATATAGTCAAGTTACTTATAGGTTATAGAGAGTAAAATTTTTTCCTTGTGTTATTCGTAACTACAATATTAATAGCTTAAAAATAGCTAATCCTATAAAATCATAGTTTGTAATGTAAAAGGAGTTAAGTAAGGAGTGGTCTTGAGAAAGATGAGTTAATTAACATTGCATACAAGTTAAAGCCCGCTGTTGCCCTGTTTACTAACACCTGATGTTTTCTTTTAAGATTCAGCTATTTTCAACAAACAGTTCTTTGCATTAGTGGAATATTTCTAATTATCACAAGAAAATTAAAACTAACAGTGATCTAGAAAAGTCTGTGTCACTTGTGATATGGAAGTTGGCATGATTGTTTGCAAAAGCATCACTGGGCTGAAAAGTTGCTTCTTGATGCTATCTTTGTGCTTGCACATGCTTGCTTGAATGGTGAAATAGCTGGACTGAACATAGTGCTGAGAGCATAGGCTTGTGCAGGACAATAAAAACATACAAGTCACAAGTGCTTAAAGGAAAGGGCAAAAGCATCAACAAGGAATTTATACTGCTGTTCCTCTGAAGGTAAAAGATACCACTTTAATAAATACAGCAGGATTCTGATATAAGATGTGTCACAATCTCGTAACTTAACTTTACTATTTAATGATCCTCCTAGTACTTTGACTAGAATGTCACTTGGTAGTGCAGCATGATGATTCCTGTGAAAGAAAGTAGTTGCTCTCCTACAAACTCATCTGGAGTCTCTCAGACAGGAACTTTTTTGGGTTTTCTGTATAATTTTTCTTTATAAAAAGAGTTTTTTCATTATAATGGAAATTTATTGGAGTATTCTTAAAGGGTCAACTCCGTCGTTTATTCAGTTTCCGATATGTTTTTTAGCTGCATGCAGAAGTAATAGGATTTTTGTTCCAAATTACAATTGGGTATTTATCATGGGTTTTTGCCTCAGAAAATAAATTCTGAAATACTAGCAGGTTCATGAAAATATCAGTGACATGAAAGTCTGTAGCACAGGAGGTTTGATGAAATGAAGCACAGGCATTCCTCCCAGTAAACTTTTCTATGAGTTCTGTGATTCTATGTAATGTTGCACTTCCTATGAAAAAAAAATCTTTTGAAAAATCCGTAATGCCCAGAGTCAATATTTACAAAATATTTCATTTTTTTTGCTTATAAGGAATTACTGTTTCAGATTTTATTTTATGTTTTAAGATGCAGCTAAAAACTAAAATTAAGGAGGAAAATAGGTTTTATTGAAACATTAAGATCATCCTTCTAAAATTTGAATATTTGTCATTAACTGTCGCTGGTAGCATTATTATTGCACAGACTCTTCATTGGGTGGTATGGAGGTTCAGTCCTTTTATAATAAAAAAAGAGTAAGGAAGCAGCAAAAGAGGCTGACACTCTACTGTGCCCCCGCTAGTAAGTTTTTCTGCTTTCTGAAGCCTGCAGAAGCTCTGTCATAAAAATTCTGTCATACTGGGAGTACACAGGCACAGAAAGTTGTATGGGGAAAAGGGCAACAGGAATGTGAAATGTTTTTCTTCTGAATTTGCATGTGTGTAGGACAGGAAATCCACTCTTGTAAGTGGATCTTGATTGGAATATGGGATCTGAGGTAACTTGCTGTGCTACTTCTCCTTGAAGACTCTGAGAAATTAGCTGGTGCAGAAGGCCAAGACAGAGCATCTCTTCTGAAGTATTCATGGGAAACTGAGAGTGGGGGAAAAACAAGTATGGAATGTTTTCCATATATAGAAATATCCCAAGGACTACAGGCCAGATTTTGGAATTTCCTACTCTTGACTTGTTCATCCTTAGGATCTTTTTTCTGCCTGCATTTATCCTCCATTCACATGGCTTTTTATGAATATTTTTCTTCATTCTTGTGTTTGTTCTTGCTCTGTCCTTCTTTCCACAGCTTCTACTTAGTATCTAATCTATATAGTTTGTCCTAATAGAGAAGACTTTCTCATCTTAGTTTATCTTCTCAAATATTATATTCTTTCTGTATGCTTAGACTACATTCTGTCTAAGATTCTAATGTCCAGGACAGATTATTTGATGGCCATTTGTGTGGGTAAGTTCTTCTGTGATACCTGTATAAGGAGCTGATTTTTTAATGTGTCCAAAGATATCCCCTCCTCAGGAGTTTGTCACAGCATAGTATTTACCCTATGCCAAGGACAGTGGCAAAACAAAAATTAATTCTAAAAGCTGTAAACTTTTGTTCTTAATGATGATTTATCATTTAACTAATGAAACTTCAAGAATAAAACTGAGTTAAAAAATTTTTTTTGAAGATGATGTTGAACATTGCCTCATGTTGTTCAGCTGACACTATATTACAGTTCATCATCATTAGGTTACTGTTATCATAGTTTAATATGTCACTCAAGTTGTGAGTAACTGTAGCTGTTCTCAAATCTTAATTTCTGCCAGATTTTAGGAGAATTCGTAAATTATTTTCTTTGAGTATTTATTAACAGCAGTAACCAAACGTGTATTTATACCAGCACAATTATCACTTTAATATGTGGAACTGAAATGATGCTCTGTAAATCTGTTGCCATGAATGGCCTTTAAAGTTGGTGGAAAAAGTATGGGGAATTTTAGAAAGATCCAGACTAGAAATAGGGTGGCACAAGGTGAAGTCAAGTGTTCACAAACATTGTAGCTCTGTAGCTCACATAGCTCTGTAGCCTTTTTTCAATTCTTTTCAATTCAATTATTTTCATCTAAGGTAATTAATTTTGTAACTGGAGATCTAATTTACATAAGTTCTTCATTGTTGCTGATAAGGTATGTGTGACAACTCAGAATTAAGTAACTTTAAGACAGTTTTACATGTTTTGAAATGGCAAATGGCATAGTCTTTATCTCAGACATATTTCAAATTGCTACAAGGCATACAGATTCTCAAGGTTTGCAAGAATTTTGCAACGTCATAGGATTTGTGTTTCCCTAGTTTTATTTTTCAAAAAATGCTGTACTCTTTAAAACTTTCTTAAAGCCTTTCAGCTTGAAATGCGACCTAGCAGAAGAAATACCAGCCTAGAGTTTTGGCAAAGATGTATGCAATCTACAGCATGGCTGTATAGTTGAAGATGTTAGGGAGCCTGTATTATAGTATTTACATGCATATGTTTCTGTGTATCTTAAACTATTTAGAAGAAAATCCTTTTTACTTAGTAAGAAGTGAAGAAATACAATTAAGTTGAACTTAATGGAGTTTATAGATTTGGTCTATTCCATATGCAATTCTATGCTGATATCTTGAAAATGACAAAATACTATGGATTTGTGTTTGGACACTTAGTATTTTTCTTTCAGTTAACCGATACCAGCTGCATCCAACAGCCCTGTACTATTTTACCAGTTAAGACAAAATGGAACAATGCAAACTTTCATATTCTCTTATTTGATCTGGAAAAACTTGAGGAACTTCTGCTGTCATCTCAACTCAATGGATTAAAATCATCAAATTCATTTCACACCTATGACACTCTAGAAAGAGCCAAAAGTACTACTGAGAAAAGGCCACTGACATTAAAAAGAAATAAAACTGCTGGCTGCATATCTCCAGTGGATGGGCGAGCAGGTACTGTTTGTTCAAACCAGGTCTGTAGGGATAACAATGCAGCTAGGCCTTTGGAAGAAAGTGGTGGCATGAAAAGACAGAAAAAAATGAAGAGTTCAAGAAACATTAGAATGCAGCCATCAGGAAACATTGATGTGAACGTCACCACTGATACAGCTAAACTGCTTTTGTCATGTCTCTTACCATGGGGTGTAGATAAAGAAGTAGACAATCTTTGTGTTAGACACTTGGATATGTTGAGGCTTCAGTCTCCTGTTTCTTTTGGATTTGTGTCAAATGAAAACCACCTATCACTAATGTTGCCAGGATGGAAATGTACTGATTGTGGTGTGCTAGAAGAGCATGCAGTAATCAACTTGTTTTCAAAAAGAGTGCTTGATTTATCAAACAAGTACCTTGCTGCAACTGAAGGACAAACTGGAAAGAAGGATGGACCTGAGAATAATGTTTATGGAATAAAGGGACTGGAAACAGTATTATTCTTCTTTAGCAGAATAGCTTTAATCAACAGGATAATTAACATACCTTCAGCAGTTACAGGTGAAATTGAAAGGTAAGAACCTTTTCATTTATGAGTCTTTTCTTCCTTTATAGCAGTTAAAAAGTGAAAATATTAAACAAACACTTTTCTTAAAAAAGGACTTTTGCAATAGAGTTTACATTTTTTCTTTAGAGCTTTTTATATAGGATGTTCTTTAAACAAAAGGAGATCAGGATAAAGTGAAGTATATTTTTCTATTTAGCAGATGAGAAAACTGATGCAAGAAACTTTTTTTAACAGAACAAGAACTTGAATTATCCGGCTTCACAACCTGTTTTTCCAGAGATCACTCTTTTCCTTGCAGTTTAGACTAAGTAGAATAATAAGGTCTCTTCAGGCACATTTTGAGACATGCATTAGCACATTTGTGCTGTTTTAGCTTCTGCTCTCTGTAAGCAATATAATTCCTTTACCATGAAACCCTTGGCTCCACAGATAGATAAAACATGAGACACAAGAACAGTCTGTCCTAGTTACACTATCTGAAGTACAACACACACACACCCCCCAGCCCCCAGTTAATAATGGCAGCTACTAGGAATGAATGCCTCATCAGCCCTTATGCTGTGAGAACCATCCCACATAACATTTATGTTACTCAAAACAAATGCATTGACTAAATGCTTTTTCAGCATTAAAGGAAAAATAGCATGTTCAACATTATTTGACCAAGCCAAATAGAGCATACTAATCAGGCAATGGATATTGTCCACAGACTTGTGTTGTTCAGCAAACCTAGGTTGGTCTGTATTTAGCATTTTAGGGACAATTAACTTTAGTGTTGGTGATGCTATGGCCTAGAGGCAAGAAGGGGGACAAAAATTATTGATCCTGACGCTGCAAATATCTGTGCATCTTCCACAAAGCTATAGGCATTCAGCATATCTCAAAAGATATGCACCATCCCACAGGATAATTGCACATTTCTCAGTTACTTTTACTGCTAATCACATTGCCTACTGGTCCATATTCAACACAAGCTCTTATATGAAAGGTTGTTTCCAGGATTCCAGCTTGAACACTAATTCCTTTCCATGCAAGAAAGGATTTTATGCTTGCATTGTGACTTACAGTATTCTATTGGAAAGATATTGTGTAATTGAAGTTAGTTGTCACACCAGAATCAAACATTTTTCCCAGACACACATATTCTGGCTTTGGAACATATCTCCCATAAAATTATAAGTATTAAAGTTGTTGCAAGAAAAAAAGCACAATTTTTTTTTTTACTATATAATTTAAAGTTTTCTCCAGAAAATGTAAATCCATAAGAGCTAGCATGTCTTGTAATAATAGTGAGTTTTTGTACAAAACAGAGGAAGAAATTGCCATAAATTTTGGTTACAGAACAGTTGTGAATTTTATTCAAAGACTCTGAAATGTTTTATTTGGGTTTTTGACATGGTTTGGTTTGGATTACCTCTTTTTCCAGAGCTGAATAGTATAAATAGTATACCTATTTATAGCTGTCTTGAAGCTAAGTTTTAGTTTGGTGCCATTTGTGATGCTCTAACATGCACTATTGCCTCCCAATGGCCTCATCTGCATAAGAGCACTTGAGTTGTATCCATTCAATTCTTTACTTGGATTTTTTTGGGTTTTTTTGTGGGTTTGGTTTTGTTGTTGCTGTTTTTCCAGAGCTCCATATTTTCATCTTGAGTTCCTGAGCAGCAACTGCAAGTGCTATGGGTCTGTATGGAGACAACACACAATTCTTTCCTGGCTGTACTTCCACACTCCTGCCTACTTTTTGAGGCTGTACCTTCTTTGTTCTTCATCTCTTACACATTCAGGAAATAAACACACAAGTAGCCACAATTTTTCTGTGTTACTGAAGGATAAAGTGGTTTTTCTGAGGGAACTTGATCAGAACTAGACTGTATTTGCTGCTTTGTTATCAACACAGACCTCAGAGGTTTTAGTCACCTGGACATTTTCCTCTTTAGTGCTGGTGACAGGAAATTAATTTTTCTCATCATGGCTCTGTCCCATAATAGCACAGAGTTTATCTTTTCCCCTACTTTCCAAGGACTGTTCCAGAACTTTAGACATGTCAGTCATGATTCACTTTTTTTTCTCCCCAATAAACAAAGATAAGAACAGTTGAGAGATGTAAAGGATTTTGTACTGTTTCCTAACCTATGTAAAACTATAAAGGATGTCCCACTGTAGTCAAGAACCATCATTTTCGCATAGAATCAGAGTTGTGTGGGTAGAACCAACAAGATGATGTTACTGTGTCAGCATTAGTGGGAGAAGTGAATTAGAGCCACAGGAAAGAATTTCATGCTTCAGACACTTCTTTTTAAAAAAAAAAAAAAAAAAAATTACTGATTCCATACATGATGTACTTTCATGTGCTGTTGTCTTTGTGTCTGAGTATTAAAAGCATAGTTTTGCTATCTGAAATTGCTGTATGAACATATCTATACTTTTCGTATTGCCTCAAAACCAGTTACGTGTATGCAAAGTTATCTCCCTCTCTCCACCTAGGGAAAAAGCCCTTCTCCTGTGAAATTCCCTTCCCGTGCCCACTAATAAGCATAGCATGAATAGGACTTGGTCTATTTGCCATGATCTTGGGAGTCAGCCTTCATTTCATCTCTTCCTCTTGCAAATAATTGGGGTCTGAATGAACTATCATCAGACTATGAATCATAGTCTGTGTTCATTCATTCATTAAATCCTTTTATATGTTTTATCCTTATTCATCATTTACTCTGTATTCAGAGTTGGAATGAGTTTTCTTTATTACGATGAGCTGTTAAAATAATGTACTTTTGCCTAATTAAATGTTTGAAAGAAACCAAGCAAATGCTATTTTCTCCAGTTTGTCTTCTAGAAGTACAGTATGTAGCCATACCCGTTTGGGCAGTTGGTTTAGCTAGAACTACAGCATGCTCAAGAGAAGAAACTACATATTGAATTCTAATTTGCCACAGCATTTGCAGAAGGAGTTAGTAGGACAGCTTGTAAGGGTCCTGGTCTCCTAAGTATTGCTGCAGTACGAACAACTCTTACTAATTCAGTTACTAATATGAGAGAAAAGGCATTCTGATCTCCTTTCAGTAGCTTATCTGTTAGAGCCATGAATGTTTCTGCATCCTGTGAAAGCTTACTTTCTATTAGCACACTGGTACAAACCCCAAAGCTTTTAAACTTTGAAATTAAAAACAGGAGAAAGAATATCTGAACAGATTATCCAGTGACTAGGACACTTGCTTAATGTGTATTCAGCTGATATTCATAGTTCTGCCTACTCTGATGCTGGAGAATGGACTTGTATATTTATTTTTTGCAATGCAGCACAGTGTCTAACTACTGGTTTAGTAATAATTTTGGGAGTCCAGCTTTCTTCTGTTAATGGTGGCCCACTTTGCATATAGCAATGAAATGCTCATTGGGCTGTAAGGAGAATTATTTTAGTGTCAGTCAACTATGGCCTTGGTCTGGGGAATGCGATAATAAAGTTTAAATCCCTGCGCTTTGGCATATCTGATTTTGCTGTTATGGGAGAGTGAAAAGAATTTCTTTTTTGTTAAATAAAATATACACACATATACATACTTTTAATCTGGAGAGTCAGAATGGGAAAAATGCATTTGGTCAATTCATAGACTATTGGGTATTCTTGGATGAGTCTGGTATTCTCATTTTGAGTAGAAATTCCGTCTTTGTCAGCATATGTGTGTGTATGTATATGTTTCTGCTTAAACCATGGGTTTGACAGATCATCATTCCCCAAAGAAAAGCATTTGGTTGAAAAACTCTTGACTAGTTGCTATTACAAGTTTTCAACTTATGTTTTGGATCAGTAAGTTTCAGGTTATAGTATTTCTGTAAGGTATTAGCTATTTGATTGGATAAATGAAATTTGTGGAATGTGAAAATAATGAACAGTGAATTACATCCTTTAAGCCTATGTTATCAGACCACTAGTAATGTTTTTTTTTTAAAGAAAAAAAATCACTTTTTTAACATAATTTGAACATTTCACCAAAAAAAGTTCATAATCAAAAAAAGAATAAAGTATGAAAAACATGGCTTTGGAAAAACTTGGACCTCAGCCTATAAGCTATTTTTCATAGATGTGTCTGCATATCTGTTGGGTTTTTTGCAACTTGATCAAGCCTGTGAAAATAAAGGTACCTGCAGTAAAATGTGTCAGATTGTAAAAGTGGGACAGAAACAGGAAGACATTAGTAAAAAAAGATCTTCAAATAATTTTTCTCCTGCCTATTTGTATCTGTAACTTAAAGCTCTCAAGCTGAAAGCTTTCAGAGTTGTTTAGTATTGCAAAGCTTTTGAAATATTCTGACTTACTTTTGATTGTAGTGAATTTGAAAGGTGAAATATATTATTTTTAAATGACGCATAAATATAGTTTGTGTAGGGTCGCTATAGGAATGTGTTTAAAATAAATAGTTTGGAGAGGTTTTTCACTTCCTTTCCCCTCCATCCATATCCTTTGTCTTCAAGGGTTAGGTTGCTGAGTCAGTGACAAAGTATTGAAGAGCAATAGATATACACACTAGTCTCCTAAATTGTAGCCATCTACTGAAATCCCAAGTATTGCAATAATATTCTAAATTGTTCAACACTCTGAAAAAGTGGAAATCTATAAAATAAAGCTGCTAGTTTCCCTTGAACTTTTTTCCTATGTAATAGAAAAAACAGCCCAAGTCCTTTGTGAAAATTTTATTTTGATTCAATTCTTCACATACTACATTGTTTCTTTAATACAACATAAAAGTTAACTATAATAAGTTTTGAGCCAAATGTAAAGTTCCTGCTTATGGACAGTACTTCTTGGTATTTGTGTACATGTGAACGTTTCAATACCAAGTTGTGGGCAAAGGAATGCAAGTGACTTTTGAGGAGAAACTAAATTGTGGTTGACAGTAATTGATAGCAGAGTATTTACCTTAAAAAAAACCCTACCTTAAGACAAGATTTTTTTTTGTAAACATGTTCAGGTTTTGTTTGACAGTTTCATATTCTTTTAGTCCACAGAAATCAGAATCTGTACATGACAAATGGCAAAATACAGAAGCAGTAACATCTTCGTTCCCCGGTTCTTATGGAGAGTTACCAAGCAGTAAGTATATGGAGGATTGGCAATATTAGCTTTCAAGTGTGATATTTTTTGTATGCTTTGTGTTGCTAAAATACATCATTTAACTTCAATAAGGGGAAAAAAAAATATTTATATGCTTTAGCTTTGAGCAGGTCCAGTTTGCAAATACAGAAACAGGATTACTGTATTTTCTTCTGTGAAAAAAACTGTTAAGTTTTACTGGAATCAAGGATACTTTTTCTGTGATAGCAAAACATTCAGCTGAGTTTTTAAAGACATTTTCTAGCAGTTTGAAAACCAGAAATGTAGTAAGGCAAACACAGTCATCTCCTCCCCTCCCCCATCTCCCTCATCACCATTATGTGCTCTATAATATATACAGCCCTTTAAGCAAACTGTTGCCTTAGTAATACAAGAGTCATCTTGACTGTTCAATAATGCCCTTAGACTTTTGGCTTAGGGCGGAATAAAGTAATTTCTTCATGTTAATGTCCCACAGGCAGTTGTTCACCAATCTTGGCTTTGCAAGCCAGTCTAAGTTTAACTTTACAGTATGCAACTAACCAAAGAATATTTAAATAAAAACCTAAATGGAATATGGATATTTATCGGTATACATTATCTAACAAATACAGTGTTTTTCTTATAGACTTAAGTCCTATCTAGACTGATAACACAAATTCTTTCAAGTCAAATCTTGACACTCTGCTATGTAAATAAGCCTTAATATCCCCATCTAAGATCAGTTTTTAGTGTACCTTTCCTTCTCTGACTCTTATGTGCCATAACTGTAGAACTTGTGATGACAGCAGAAATGCCTGTTGGAAGAAAGAGATGGAACATAAAATCAAGTGACAATAGTGAATAAGTAGGTGAAAGGCATGGAAATGGTGTAGAGATGACTAAAATGTTCGTGGACAAAAATAGTTTTACTGAGTGACCTAAAACTTCTAATGTAATCCAACTTATATCCCATATCTTTTAGTTCACACAGTTGTTTGGATTTGCAAATTGAAATCTTCTCTGGAACTTGCAGATCTTATTTTAAGAATGAACAGTTCTTTAGCATCAAGAACACACTGGACAGCAGAATGTTTCTGGACTTTCTGTATGTGTTTTCACATGTGCAAAGAGATTAAAACAGGAGTCTTTAATGCTTTTTTTGCATACATGGACATGAAACTGAAGTACTGCAACAGAAGATAAAGCCAGATGATAGGTACCATATTGGCTGTACTATTCTTGATCAATCGGGACACTTGCTGAAAGACTATTTTGTGTTTAGACCAGAGTAGCCTCAGGTTAGCTCTTGAGTCAGTAAGAACTATAAAAGCTATTAATTCAAATTGGTATTGCTTAAGTCTTTCCTTTTTTGGAGAGCTGCTTCTATTCCACAGGATTTCCCCACAGGGGGAAGTCAACTGCAAACTCAGTAGGTTCTTACTAAAGAAATTAGTTGTAAACTGGGGGGAAGGTTTGAAATAATAATGTTGAGCTTTGACACAGTAAAGTTTCCAAAATGGCAGGAAAAAAAGAGAAAAGCAAAATTTTTCCTGATACATAAAGCAATCACATAAATTAAAACATGAGAAGGAGAGGTTTACCTTTGTATGATCAGTTCTGCCTCTCTCATTTTGTCATCCCTTTTTATGTTTTCATATTAGCCTTTACACTTTGTATTGTGGTACATGCCATGTCAGTTATCAGAGATAGAGGATAAAATATTTGCTCTTACCCTGTCTTTCTGTAAAATGATATTAAATGGTCTAGTTTTCTTTTTTCCTCTTCCCTTCTTTTTCTAATCATAGCTGTGTGTATGTTTGTACATATGTTTATATATTTTATTAGATATTGACATAGTTACATTTATATGGTAATTTACTGAATAGCATACTGCTACCATTCAGACTACACTAGTGTACCCTATTCACTGTGCAATATACAGGTACTTCCATGATTTTTTTCAAACTTCAGTCTTTGCTGCAGGATCCAACATTTAAGCAAATGACTATGCATTCTGTGATCAGGATACTTGTGAAATTTGGTGTTACTGAAAGACGGTTGCTACTTATAATTCAGTTTCCTCTTTTCAAGACATTATATGGTATTGGCAATCAGAGATTATTGTGTAGATTCACAGGATTGTACAACCAATTTACCCAACTTGCGTGTCAGGAAACAAACACTGTAGTAAAGTACTGAGATGTCACATTGTCCTGCTTTTGGCTGGGATAGAGTTATTTTTCTTCCTAGTAGCTGGC